ATCTTTTGCCTCCCATATTCTGTGGGTTTCAGTCAATAATATTTTATACACAGAAAGGTCAAAATGGGATAGGAGACACACAAATGGTGAGTAGGACCTGCATTTATGTTGTTCTCTGTGATTAATGCAGAATGATTGTGCAGTCAGAATGACTTCAAATCAGGGGGGTATTTTTAGTGCTTGATACATGATAAAATCATGACAGCAGCATTTTAATTGTAGTTTATTAAGATGGCATTGCATGCAATCAGTGCTTGGGATTCATCTGTGCTGCCTCTGAAGCAGCACGTGGGTGCAGGATCTGTCCCATGATACTGATTCTCACTGTGTGCTTCACTTCCCCTTCCCTTAACATTGATCATGTCCTGAATCTGGACTACTCCAAGGACCTCTTAACCATAGTTTCATCATACTATATACCTCTATACAACAACTGCATTTAAAGAACATTGGAATACATGTGGTTTACTACAAACAGACAGTAATATTATAGGATATATGATTTGAAAATTGAGGCTAAATTTAGTCTTTTTTTCCAAATCAGGTGCCCTCTTTTGCATTCAGACAGTATTCAAATTCAGGCTAATTGTGTTGTTCATATTACTTTGATGAGATGAGTTAAAGCCAACCCTTCCCAGCAATAATTAAGTGACATCCCTTCAATAACGTGGAAAAAATGGTAAGGAAAGTGCAGTGCAACTATAAAACGAAGAACAGCAGTGGTGGTAGAAGTTCTGCTCCTCTTAGCGAGGCTTCCCTATTGTGGTGTTGAAAAGCTGAGGCCTGACATGTAGCCAACAGAAAATTAATTTCTTGCATGTCCACTACTTTTCTGGCAGAAGTGAATTGCAAACTGCTTATCCGGCTCGCCAGAGCACCCTCACACAGCCTTCTATCAGGCTTCAGCAGCTCTGAGCTTTTCTATAAACAGCAGCCAAGAGAGCACATTACACTTGATCGAAAAACAACGACAAAGTGTGAGGAAAATGAATGCAGAGACTGTAGTTAGCTTCTCATTTGGCTAAGAACACACAGAGAGCAACTAACAAACACCATATGCTTTACCTGGCCAAGCACAATGGCCCATAACTAAATGGCTGACAACAGACACAATTTGTTAATGCAGCCACTCAAACAAAGATGATGTGCCCCCTCACGAGAAGTTTCTTTCTTACTGCAAAGTTACCTCTGAAGTACAGCTAATGTGGTCTAGTTCCCAACACTATTAGTCTCTGAAAAGCTCTCTCTGTGAGCAGAGTATTACTATAGAGAATTTATTATGTTAGCTTCCAACAGTATTTAGCATCATTCACAGATAGAAAAAAATATATATTGAAAGAGCTAATCCCAATGCAGTGTATTCATAGGAGCATAATACCTGAAGGTGTGTGCCTTGTTTCCGCACACCATTACAGTTTTAACTGGTAACTGCAGTTGGCAATGTAAAATAATACTTAAATGCCTTGTTTTTCAAGCTGACTAAAGAAATAAGATTATACTCAAGCAATGGGACAATAGGGTCTCTATTCACCAGAGAGCTACAGCTCCTTATCCATCCTCCCTTGGACAGCTATAGTGAGCAAACTGAATTCTGATGGACAGCCAAGATATGCAATCTGAATCATACTACACCACCCCACTTATTAAGTGCAGACAGGTGATGCTACCGACTCTTAATTCCCTTTTATTTTAAAAGTTTTTTAAACTAGTCCCGCATAGGCAGAAATTAAGGTAAGCCCTTTTCAATAACACAAATGTGTTTTTGTAATTAAAAGCCATAAAACAAGCACTGACAAGCTCCAGTCAGCATAATATAGATTATGCTGTTCAAACATTTTGCCATTCACTGCCTCCAGCAAAAAGCTGCAGGAGAGGAGGAGAAAAAAATTCCCTTCCCCCATGACTTCATACTCTAGTGCACTACACCACTTGTGGATTTGTACCTGGAGATTTACTTATTTATTTGTAATCCCCTGGCCCTGCCCTCACTCCCTCATGTTTTTATTCCTTCAAGACCACAACACATTCAAATCAAATGTAAAAAAAATATTTAAAAACATTTAGCAGAATTGATTTTTTTTAACCCTTCCATTAACACAATCAATCAAAAGTGTAAATGCAAGGGAAAAAATGACCCAGAGTCATTGCCTTGAAAATATTGTTTTTCTCCAAAAAAGTAAATGCTTTCTCAGTACCTCATTCACTTTGCAACTCTTGCTTGCCTGTGGAGAAGCAGTATGTTTCATACTCCCTAAGACAAGATGAATATGTTGTAAGGCAGTTTTTCTAACCAGATTCATGTAGCTCTTTGGAAGCTGTTTTGTTACCTGTTCATTAATGTTGTCCTTCTGTGAGCAAACACAACATCAATAACTTTTCGGATAGCTCACAAATTAGTATCTCAGTGTTCCAGGTCCTGGTCCCACAGACACCCCAGTCATGATTAACCTTACACATGCATGTGAAGCAATGGGGCTCCTCCCAAGCATAACATTACCACCACTTGAGGCTTACGCTAGCATTAGAGAGATCAGGCTGAGCGGGGCTCAAATTTAAGCAATTACAGCAATGTTTTAAAGTGCAAACATAAATAAAATGGCTCAAATGCTATTTTTGCCAGAAGCAGCATTTACTAGCCAGAAAACATTCATTCTTTCGCTGCATGACACAATAGAGTTTTTCTTGCAGTGTTGCTGAACCAGAATTAGGTTGGTTTCCTCGTATAACTAATTTTGAACATAAACATGTGGGGACAAGGTCCCAGGTATTTACATCCATAGATCTGTAGCTTTTACTTCCATGAACAGAGTCAGCTTCCTGAAACAGAGGAAGTATTGTGGAAATGTGTAAACAGACCAACCACTCTACAGAGTTTCACTGGCACAGCCCATTGCCTTTAGAACACACTTCTATTTGGAGGAGAAATGCTAATGTTTTTATTGTTTTTTCTCTGCCCCTCTCTGAAGAATAGGCTTAAATGCTGGAGTATAAATTCAGAGACTACAACTTACTATTTCAGCAATGTCTCAAAATAACAGTATTTGAGAATTAAGCAATGCAGGCATCATTCTAAAGTTTCCTATGTCAGTGCAATTCCAGTGTGTAGGTACCTTCCACAGTGTAGGTACAATCAGATTCAGACATTTTGCCCTTAAAAGTAGCAATAGCTGGTGCTGTACTTGGAGTTCACACCACACTGGGTGTGTCTACACATGTATTTACTGTGCAGTAACTTACTGCACAGTAAGCAGTTTTTAGACCGGTGTCTACACATGTAGGCGTTACAGCACACTAATGCTGTGTGCGCACCGATTTGGGAGTAAAGTTACTCTCAAGTCAGTCCACACAAACAGAGCTACTGTACAACGAGGCGTCTACACATGCTTTACTGTCTAGGAACTACTTGGGAGTAAATTTGCTACCTGCATCATGCAAGGACAGTAACTATGGCAACTTATGCCAACTCAGGAGCAAATCTGCATGATGCAGGTAGCAAATTTACTCCCAAGTTGGTGTAAGTCACCACAGTTACTGCACAGTACTGGCACGCACATGTAGACGTATGACTATACTGCACAGTAATTTTCAGTTACTGCGCAACAACATAAGTTACTGTGCAGTAATGGTGTACATGCAGACATGTCCACTGAGTACTGATGAAAGCCACTTCAATGTAACACATTTTCAGTTTTAGTGCTGTGATGCAACAAGGATAACGGTAATGTGGTCCTACCCTTCCTCCTCTCCCCCTTAGATTTTATTTTTTGCCATAACAGGGTAAGGGAAGCCCCATGAGCTTGTTTTTTGCACAACATGGAATTTCCCTTCCAACAGCAGCACAATGAGGCAGCTGAGTGCTTGGGGCAGCTGCCACACACAGAGGCTGTGGCAACTTCTGGTGCCTATGCCATCAGGAGGGGGCAAGGGGTGCTGCCTCAGGCCCCATGCTTTGGGGGATCCCTGCAGATCCAGGTCAGCTTCATGTCCAGCCACTTGCTCCCCACCCCCCGCTGCCGTGTATGGGCCCCGCACAGGCTGATTTGCCCCAGGTCCCACGCACTTTTATAGTCATCTCTGGCCATCAGTGTGATTGTGGCCACAGATAAACTTGAAAAAAAACCCCAAAACAGTGCTTTACTGGAAGAGGAAGCACATTAGTTTCACCCAGCACCCCTAATAGCTTTTATTTAATAGTTCATTCAATCAGTTATTAAATAAAAGCACCAAAAAAACACCAGAAAGCCCCTGAAGTGCCCAATCTATACAGATGTTGGGTGAGCCAGGTCAAACTACTGCAATGCCTCTTCTGGGCATGCACTGCACTTTGTGCAGAGGTGCGCTGAGCTGGAAGTAAAGCACAGGGGTTTTTTCCACATCTGTAAGCAGCCTGTGTGGCTGTGGCAGCACCAGTTCTCCTCCCTGCCCCACTTCTCCTTGGCCCCTAGGTCAGTGGCCAGGGCAGCTCTTCCAGTCACCCAGCCTTGGTTATACCGCTGCCCTCAAGAGATGTTTAAATCACATAATCTTGCTATGAAACAAAATGACAACCCTGCTTTTTTATTTTTAAGTAAATAATCTTTCTCTAGCCATTCACATCTACCTTATTTCCTCTTATTATTAAGGTTGTGTTTATGAACTTCTTATCTGCTTCATGGCAGAATATCAAGCAACATTTCTACTACAACCAAAAGCTTCTTCTTGCAGGGAACTTACCAAAGAACAACACACTCTTGAGATGAGTTTTGGCTCTTATGCAAGTGTGAAGTTCCCCCCCAGCCCCAATGTAATTTGAAATGTATTTTCCAAGAACAGAGCTTCAATAGAGAAAACACACAAACAATATAATAATGACCATAACTTAATGATACTCTATTCTGGAGGCAATGTTCAAAAGAAAGTGTGGTAAAGAAGACTGACTCACACTTTCTTTTATACAAAAGGGAAAAATTGCGTGTGGAACACATCATAAAAACTATATATAGACAGACTGCATTTCTTACCATGTCACCAGGCTTGACAGAAACAGCCACCACTGCTCCAGGCATCGGTGATCTCAAAATGCTGGTGGTGTCCTCCTCCACTTTCTCTGGCATGTACTTACTCAACTCAGCAGCAAGCTGGGTCAGTATTCTTAATTTGTACTTAAGGAAAGAACAGTAGGAGAAATGTTTTAGCCCACTTAACTCTGCAACTCTGATGAACACTTTGATATTATTTATTTAAAAGAATATCATACATTGTTTTTGACAACTACAGACATGCTTTTGTATTGTATACCATGCTACTACACAGAGTTGTCTAAACTATACTAAGTTTAGAATGGCTGTCAAAAATTCCATTTCCTGGGTATAAAAAAGAAAAGAAATATACAAGCAAATCCAAAGTGGCAATACCAAGTAACTAAAAGGACAGTATCAAATTAAAAATCAAGTTCAAATTTCAGGTTCAAGAATAAAAGTTTTTGAGTTTGTTTTATACCCCTGTAGCCTACCAAATACTATTCCAAGTGATCCTGGAGTACTTACATTCCACATACACATCATTATAACTAAATGCAATCAGACTGGGCCCCGTATCACCGAAACTTCTTCAGATTATTAACAATGAAGTAATTTTAAACTTAATTTTACTATTATTTATTCAGGATTTGCGTTTTCCACATCATTCAGCTTTTGCACCGAAAACCAATCAAGCCATTTTTCTTCTATGTTCCCACTTACACACAGAATGTTGCAATGTTTAGGCTGCAGACAGTTCAGGGAAATGTCTGAATAAATTGAAATATATTTAACTATTTTTGTCAGAAAAAAAATAAATATTTATTATGTTTTAAAAAAAATCTTCAACTCCTCCCTTCTTCCCATGAAAAACGAGGAGCCTGAACTACCTCATGACATCCTTTTAAATGAACTTTTTGTAAACATATGCACTGATACATCTATCTTCCCCCTCTACTTTAATTCTTTAAAAAAAGGTTGTACACTTTGACAGATCATTCATTGACATTATGAGAGTTTTTCTGTCTCAGTGCACATGAAACTATAGATAGAAATCCAGTAGATGGCAGCAGGTCTCTGTGTGAAACTACTTAATCTCTCTCATAAATTTAGAGTTAAAGAACAGAATTGCACTTCATCAATTATTTAAACAAAGCTTTCAATAATAAGTGTTTTAGAGTGAACTGCTTTTAAAATTCTGATCTTCATTTTGATGAGCTACAGACAAAACCGCTTATTTTCAACAGTATGTTTTCTACTGAAATAATTAATCCTTTTTTTTTTTTTTTTTTTTTTCGAGGGAATCTCCTTACTTTTCATTTTCATGAAAAACAACAGAGATTTCCTTACAGTGTGGGTAACGGAAGTCCAACTTTTGCTTTCGCCAAGGGTAAGGCAGGATATTTAGAAAATATAACTGAAAGGTAGTGAAGTACGACAGTGCAAGCTTTAAAAAGTAGATTTCTTTAGATAAAACTAAACAATGCAACAGTGGGTTATCAACCTACATGAATATTGCCTGGGTACTTGAAACGTGCAGTGAACAGTGTAACCATTTGGCTCTGAACTATGTGAAATTTATGAAAGATGAGTACAATTTACTTGAGCAAAATAAGATCCCTAAATGTAATAAAATAGTATCCAATGAAATTATAGCCACCACCCAAGAACTTTCAGGACTCAAACCAAAATATTTTTTGGGGGTATAACTGATGCAGCAGCATACATGAGCCAGTACCATTTTATATGCAAAAGCTGCATTAACTCAAAGCCTCCTACAGTCATTATTAGCATGGTGAGCTCACATTTTCAAAAACAAAGTAAGGTTAGCCATTTACCTCTCCGCCCAAATGACTACATTTAATGCAGTATGCTTCTTGCCATCTCTTTTTTTTTTAAATAAAATTGTGTATGTGAGTGTGCGTATGCACGCCTGCGTGTGCGTAAAGGAAGAGGGAATTGTGCCTAGAGGAGATTTGATAACATAAGCTGCAAGTAGAATTGCGACAATGTGACAGGTCAAATAATAACATCTTATGCATGTTTCTTTACTCTTGAGTGTATGTTTTGCAATCAAGACATACAAGTGTCTGCCAGTTTCTGAAGGATATGATCCTTAAGTGAAATTACTGTGCAAATAAAAGCTTTTTGCTCCTATTAAAATTCGTCTGAGTCATAAGTGGCAAGGAAAAAAAGCTTGCAGAGTGCATTCTGCTGTCAATCTAATAAACATTCTGTGCAGAGGGACTATTTATCAAAGATAAATTGTACTTAAAAGTCCTTCATTAAATCTATGGGGGGGAATATAATTACACCAAATTGCACAGTTTCAGTATCCATGGTTAGTGTTGTCTTTGTACTCATAGTTTGAAAATAATAAAAAAAATTCTAGCTCTTGGAAGAAAACAAAAATAAAGTTAGCTTTCTGGACTGGTACTACTGTATGGTAAAATAAATTACTTGGATAAGGTTTTAAAAGGTCATGCCTACCTTCTATTTAGTTTTCTAAGCTATGTATGGGCCTACCTTCCTACGCTGCCCAATCTCTAAATATAAACTTCAAATCCAGAATAATACAATTGGATTTCTAGGAAGGAATGGAATTATCCAGTTTCCGACACATCAGCGAGGTTCAAGTACTTAAACTAATTCCTCATTTATAGCACAACTTGCAGCTGGGGAAAAAAGTATTGCCACTGTGTTGTCCTTTAAAGTTCAGGTCTCCATATCAAGTTATGATATCCCTACCAAACACTCTGTTTTTACTATCTTTATAAATTTCATATCTTTTAGATTCCTTTCTCTGCAGGATGCCTGCTTTGCTTGGAATGAGATGTAAGAGTCAGTAAACTGAAAGCTTTCAAATGTAGGTCTTTGTTATTGATGAGCTGTTCTTTTCCCTTTTGTATTTGTTTATTGTTCTTTAGTCTTTTGGGGGGATAAGCGAGTTATTGTAATCAAAAAGTAAAAAATAACAACAGTAAACTTTTTAGGAAAGGCTTTTTCGGCACAGTTGGCTCACTAATGACCTTTTGGCATATAAAAAGACAAAGCAGTAGAAAGAAGGTTCCTTCTTTAAAATTATCTTTGATGTATTTATACTGTTGACTGGACTGACTAAATACCCACATAGCATTCTTTTGTAAAGCTATTTCTTAGCTCCCAGAAACAGTGTTACAGTGGGGGTGGCAGCGAGTAGCTGACCTAAATGGAAATACTAAGTGTAGTTTGATAAGAACAGCAAAGGCCTTTGGAAAAATTAAAGTAGTTAACAATGCTTCTAAAACAGAAAGAAGTTGAGACTATTCAAGGTGCCCTCATCATGTAATTACTACTACTGCACCTCTGCTTTCTAGACCTCAGACAACCCTGAAATCTGGAGTTTTCAGATCTTACTTATGGAAAGTGTTAGGAATTGGGGAAGGCGGGGAGAAGAAGGGGAGGAGAAATCAGGAATATAAAGTGAGGAAGGTCACAGAAGTTAGCATTACAAGCAGAGACCATAAGGTTTCCATTGGCCTAAAACAGAAGAAACATCTGCTGGAGTCATAAATAGATTGTGGGTAAATTTTAGCAGCAAAGAAGTCTGCCACTGATAAGATTTGAGCTCATCAGTAGTTGTCACTGGTCAGAGCTCAACTCTGCAGGATTTCAGAGTCTAATTCTGCCAGCCAAAGTAAAAGTAATAAAAAAGTACCTGAATGGAGCCATGCAGCATCTGGTGAGGTAGAAAACAGGTGTTTCTTTTTCATGGGACTGTTGTGTGTCCACGATCAGTGGGCAAAAATAATGATAGGGAAAGGGGATGTCAGTTAATAGCCTGCTTAGGGTAACAGTACACTATCTTAGGTCTCTCAGTAAATGAATATTACAACTGTATATAATGCAAAACCACTTCTCAAAACTAAATCTCTGTGACAAGAGAAGAGGGTGTAGTAATAGCAGATGTGAAGGGATAAGAAGATAAAGAAGAGAAAATGGCAAAGACAAGACAATACATAGAAAATAAAATTAAACAAAACAGAACAACATTATGAAAATCTCCTGGGCAGGGTATACAGCAAATAAAAGGGAAAAATAGGCAACCAACCGGCGTTAAAAGATGGCTGAGAACATAAATTAATGACCTCTTCACTTAAAGAGAAGATCTGTTGACTGTACAGGTATCTTGCCAGGTATGATAAAATATAATATGCCCTAAGCATGGTGCTCAAGCTGCATCCTGTTATTTTTTGCATTGTTTATTAAATACAATCTTCCCTACATACCTTAAACCCATCTGTTTGGGAGCTGTCAATATTCAAACTCCACTGGAGCCTTCATACAGTGGTCTAACATACCAATATACACATGTAAGTTATGAAGCTGTGTGGATTGCTGACCAGATGTGGATGTATAGTATGATTTACATTAGGTTTAGCTATGTTTTCAAAGCCTCTGCCATTCCTGTGGTAGGAATACATGCTAAAAATCCTATGTCGCTCAGGATCCACCAAAAAAACTCTGCTATGCATCGTAAGTACCGTCAATACACTTACAGTTTCTGAATTAATAAAATGTATTAACTGCAGCGATGTAATTTTCCTTTAACATTTCTAATTTGTCTCCTTCTCAGTTTCAAGTCACTTAACTGATGTCAACTGAAGTTTGGTCATCACAGCCCCATCAGTAATAGTTATTCAGTATTTATGTGACTCAGTAGCAAGCAATGCTTCTTTGTTGAACTGCTATCAGCACACTGTCTTTTTCACTAATTCTCTGTCCGTTTCAAAGTAGTGATCATAACCTTGTTTATATTTTCATGACGATATTTAAACTGGAAAACTCATATTCATTCCATACTACTTCCAGGTTGCCATCATCATCTTCTTTTTGAGATAAGGACTTCTCACTCAACAAAGAGACTTAAAATATTTCTTGAAACACAGGGACTGAGTTCTCTGTTCTGGAGCTGATTTACTTCCACAGTGTGGCAGTGAGGACTAACATTAACATCTCCACATAAACAACGGCAGCCCTAGGCAAGTGCAGGAGCAAACACTCAACATGCTACAAAATGACTTGGTGAAAAATGAATAGCCACAAAAATCACAAGTCTTTAACCACAGCAACAGGGAAGGGGGGGGTGGAGAAAAAGGAGGACA